GCTTCTTGAAACTGACGAACACGTACCCCTCGATAAGCAAGACTTAGAACCACCCCGCATACGCCGCCTTTAAGGGTTTAAGGGTTTAAAATTCGGTGTTACATATATATTTGCTTCTTGAAACTGAGGAACACTTCCCCCCCGATAAGCAAGACTTAGCACCACCCCACATACGCAGCCTTTAAGGGTTTAAGGGGGTTTACAATTTGCTTGTTGAAACTTACGAACACTTACCACCTCGATAAGCAGGACTTAAAACCACCCCACGTACGCAGCCTTTAAGGGTTTAAGGGGTTCAAAATTCAGTGTTACATATATATTTGCTTCTTGAAACTTACGAACACCTACCCCCCGATAAGCAAGACTTGGAACCACCCCACATACGCAGCCTTTAAGGGTTTAAGGGGGTTTAAAATTCGGTGTTACATATATATTTGCTTCTTGAAACTGACGAACACTTCCCCCCCGATAAGCAAGACTTAGCACCACCCCACGTACGCAGCCTTTAAGGGTTTAAGAGGGTTTAAAATTCGGTCTTACATACATATTTGTTCTTGAAACTTAAGAACACTTACCCCCCGATAAGCAAGACTTAGAACCACCCCACATACGCGGCCTTTAAGGGTTCAGGGGGGTTTAAAATTCAGTGTTACATATATATTTGCTTTTTGAAACTTAAGAACACTTACACCCGGATAAGCAAGACTTGGAACCTGCAGACAACAACAAACACGTCTGTCGCAAAACCCCGGCCGTTGATGCATAGCCTCCGTAATGGGGTATGTCGCGTGTGCGGGCCGCGGCCCTGTTACAAGCAATCAATATTGGCACGCGGCCATATGTATGTCCTAGAAGTTACAGCACATGTAAAAAGAATATGATATGTTTCATGTTGTTGTAATAGTTTAAGCACAAACACGGTGGACCGATAACAGTACCACCATGTCGTCTGTGCTGTTTAGTGTGCAGTTGGCGAGATAACAATACACAAACAAGAGAGGGGGAGACGGTGGACCGAAAGCAGTACCACCGTGTTCAGGGACCGAAAACAGTACCCCGCTTTCCCGGAGACCGAAAACAGTACTCCGAGTTGAGTTAACACTGCATTCACTGTAGGCTCCGCGCATTCGATGGTGAGAATCAAAAGCGACCATACCTGACGCCAGACTTTATTTTAATATTAATGTAAAAAAGCGCGCTGTAGAGTTCAAATCATTATACCTTCCGGTCCCTATAGGGTTTTAAGCTACTAACCCTAAAGAGTCTAAATAATTCAAATCCAGATTTAAATGATTTAAGATATTTGAATTATTTACATTATTTGAGTTTGTGAAATTTTTAAATTATTTAAATGGTTTCGGCTCGGAGAAATTCTCGACCTATTGAAATTCTTTAAATTATTTAAATTCACGCGCCTCGAAACTAATTTAAATAATTTAAATCCCGAATTAAATTATTTAAATTCACGGGCCTCGAAACTAATTTAAATAATTCAAATCCCGATTTAAATTATTTAAATTCTTTTCCGAGCCCGTCAATTTAAATAATTTAAATAATCTAAATAATTCAAATAGAATGAGGATTTCTCGGAACCCAGACCATTTAGATAATTTAAATAATTTAAAAATAATTTAAATAATTTAAATAATTTAAATCCTGATTTGAATTATTTAAATTAGTTTCGAGGCCCGTGAATTTAAATAATTTAATTCTGTATTTAAATTAGTTAAATTAGTTTCCGGGCCCGCGAATTTAAATAATTTAAATCTCGAATTAAATTATTTAAATTCGCGGGCCTCAAAACTAATTTAAATAATTCAAATCGCGATTTAAATTATTTAAATTCTTTTCCGAGCCCGTGAATTTAAATAATTTAAATAATGTAAATAATTCAAATCGAATGAGGATTTCTCCGAACCCAGACCATTTAGATAATTTAAATATTTTAAATAATTTAAATATTTTAAATCCTGATTTGAATTATTTAAATTAGTTTCAAGGCCCGGGAATTTACATAATTTAATTCTGTATTTAAATTAGTTAAATTAGTTTCCGGGCCCGCGAATTTAAATAATTTAAATCTCGAATTAAATTATTTAAATTCGCGGGCCTCAAAACTAATTTAAATAATTTAATTCGGGATTTAAATTATTTAAATTAGTTTCCGGGCCCGCGAATTTAAATAATTTAAAGAATCTAAATAGATCCAGATTTTCTCCCAGCACAGACCATTTAACTAATTTAACGAATTTAAATAATTTATATAATTTACATCGGGATTTGAATTATTTCAATTAGTTTGGAGGCCCGCGAATTTAAATAATTTAATTCTGTATTTAAATTAGTTAAATTAGTTTCCGGGCCCGCGAATTTAAATAATTTAAATCTCGAATTAAATTATTTAAATTCGCGGGCCTCAAAACTAATTTAAATAATTTAATTCGGGATTTACATTATTTAAATTAGTTTCCGGGCCCGCGAATTTAAATAATTTAAAGAATCTAAATAGATCCAGATTTTCTCCCAGCACAGACCATTTAACTAATTTAAATAATTTAAATAATTTAAATAATTTAAATCGGGATTTGAATTATTTAAATTAGTTTGGAGGCCCGCGAATTTAAATAATTTAATTCTGTATTTAAATTAGTTAAATTAGTTTCCGGGCCCGCGAATTTAAATAATTTAAATCTCGAATTAAATTATTTAAATTCGCGGGCCTCAAAACTAATTTAAATAATTTAATTCGGGATTTACATTATTTAAATTAGTTTCCGGGCCCGCGAATTTAAAAAATATTTAAAGAATCTAAATAGATCCAGATTTTCTCCCAGCACAGACCATTTAACTAATTTAAATAATTTAAATAATTTAAATATTTTAAATCCTGATTTGAATTATTTAAATTAGTTTCAAGGCCCGGGAATTTAAATAATTTAATTCGGTATTTAAATTAGTTAAATTCGTTTCCGGGCCCGCGAATTTAAATAATTAAATCTCGAATTAAATTATTTAAATTCGCGGGCCTCCAAACTAATTTAAATAATTCAAATCCCGATTTAAATTATTTAAATTCTTTTCCGAGCCCGTGAATTTAAATAATTTAAATAATTTAAATAATTCAAATAGAATGAGGATTTCTCCGAACCCAGACCATTTAGATAATTTAAATAATTAAAATAATTTAAATAATGTAAATCCTGATTTGAATTATTTAAATTAGTTTCGAGGCCCGTGAATTTAAATAATTTAATTCGGTATTTAAATTAGTTAAATTAGTTTCCGGGCCCGCGAATTTAAATAATTTAAATCTCGAATTAAATTATTTAAATTCGCGGGCCTCAAAACTAATTCAAATAATTCAAATCCGGATTTAAATTATTTAAATTATTTAAATTATTTAAATTAGCTAAATGGTCTGTGCTGGGAGAAAATCTGGATCTATTTAGATTCTTTAAATTATTTAAATTCGCGGGCCCGGAAACTAATTTAAATAATTTAAATCCCGAATTAAATTATTTAAATTCGCGGGCCTCGAAACTAATTTAAATAATTTAATTCGGGATTTAAATTATTTAAATTCTTTTCCGGGCCCGCGAATTTAAATAATCTAAATAAATCAAATAGAATGAGGATTTCTCCGAACCCAGACCATTTAGATAATTTAAATAATTTAAATAATTTAAATAATTTAAATAATTTAAATCGGGATTTGAATTATTTAAATTAGTTTGGAGGCCCGCGAATTTAAATAATTTAATTCGGTATTTAAATTAGTTAAATTCGTTTCCGGGCCCGCGAATTTAAATAATTTAAATCTCGAATTAAATTATTTAAATTCGCGGGCCTCAAAACTAATTCAAATAATTCAAATCCGGATTTAAATTATTTAAATTATTTAAATTATTTAAATTAGTTAAATGGTCTGTGCTGGGAGAAAATCTGGATCTATTTAGATTCTTTAAATTATTTAAATTCGCGGGCCCGGAAACTAATTTAAATAATTCAAATCCCGAATTAAATTATTTAAATTCGCGGGCCTCGAAACTAATTTAAATAATTTAATTCGGGATTTAAATTATTTAAATTCTTTTCCGGGCCCGCGAATTTAAATAATTTAAAATAATCAAATAAAATGAGGATTTCTCCGAACCCAGACCATTTAGTAAATCCTGATTTAAATTATTTAAATTAGTTTCGAGGCCCGTGAATTTAAATAATTTAATTCGGTATTTAAATTAGTTAAATTAGTTTCCGGGCCCGCGAATTTAAATAATTTAAATCTCGAATTAAATTATTTAAATTCGCGGGCCTCAAAACTAATTCAAATAATTCAAATCCGGATTTAAATTATTTAAATTATTTAATTATTTAAATTAGTTAAATGGTCTGTGCTGGGAGAAAATCTGGATCTATTTAGATTCTTTAAATTATTTAAATTCGCGGGCCCGGAAACTAATTTAAATAATTTAAATCCCGAATTAAATTATTTAAATTAGTTTTGAGGCCCGCGAATTTAAATAATTTAATTCGGGATTTAAATTATTTAAATTCGCGGGCCCGGAAACTAATTTAACTAATTTAAATACAGAATTAAATTATTTAAATTCCCGAGCCTCAAAACTAATTTAAATAATTCAAATCATTTAATTCTTCCATACGTTCTCTATACATATAGAAAAACAGGTAGCAACATAGTACATAAAGGTCCCTCTCTCATATATATATATATAAATACAGAGCCACCTTTTCAGGGCAGGTGATTCCTTGTAAGCCTTGTAATGTTGTTTTGCTGTTTTTTTTTAAACCTGCGTGCTTGCAAAACGTCGGCTCGGCTCGGCTTGAAAATTGCACCCCACAACCACGGAAGGAATGTGTGATTTTGAGTGTCGGATCGGCTGGGAAGGCTCCCGGGATGCTGAGTATGCAACGCTTGTGTGTTGAAGAGAAGGTAGAATCAAAAGTTGTGTCGCTTCCTGCGGCCGTATACCTTCTGCCAGGCGAGCTGGCTGGTTGAGAACCTGGATGGGAACATCCCGCAAGGGTTAAACGCACCGATTATCGTGAGGTGACCTTGGTACTCAGTGCAAACGCCATGGTGCAGGTGTTGCTAGCTCCTGTGGTTTGTACAACGATTTCGGTTCAGCCAAGTGCCTGCGTTTGCTGCTAATGGCATTGCTTTCGAGCTAGGCTCAATGAGATTGGTCGTGTTCAAAACTCGTCGATTGTGTGATTTCATGGTCTTCAGACATGCTGTTTCAGGGCAGGCAAGACGCACCATTGTGGATGGTGCCACCACCACCACCACCACCACCGTCGCCGCCACCACCACCGTCGCCGCCACCACCGCCGCCGCCTCCACGACAACCACCACAACCACCACCACGACCACCACCACCACCACCACCCACCCGCCCGCCCGCCCACCCACCCACCCACCCACCACCACAACAACGAGCAACCACGACCAGCACACTGCTGCTACTACCATGACGGCTGCTATTACTACTACTTCTACTACTACTACTACTACTACTAGTACTACTACTACTACTACTACTACTACTGCTGCTGCTACTACTACTACTACTACTACTACTACTACGACTACGACTACGACTACGGCTACGGCTACGACTACTACTACTACTACTACTACTACGACTACTACGACTACTACGACGACGACGACGACGACTACTACTACTACTACTACTACTCCTGCTGCTACAACAACAACAACAACTACTACTACTACTACTACTGCTGCTGCTGCTGCTGCTGCTGCTGCTGCTGCTACTGCTACTGCTACTGCTACTGCTACTGCTGCTGCTGCTGCTGCTACTGCTACTGCTGCTGCTACTGCTACTGCTACTCCTACAACAACTACGAATACTACTACTACTGCTACTGCTGCTACTACTACTACTACTACTACTACTACTACTGCTACTGCTACTGCTACTGCTACTACTACTACTACTACTACTACTACTACTACTGCTACTATTACTACTACTACTACCACTACTACTACTATAATTATTATTATTACTACTACTACTACTACTACTACTACTACTACTTCTACTACAACAACAACAACTACTACTACTACTACTACTGTTACTACTACTACTACTACTACTACTATTACTACTACTAGTACTACTCCTACTACTACTACTACTACTACTACTACTACTACTACTACGACTACGACTACGACTACGACTACGACTACGACTACGACTACGACTACGACTACAACTACTGCTGCTGCTGCTGCTACTACTACTACTACTACTACAACAACAACTACTACTACTACTACTACTACTCCTGCTACTACTACTACTACTACTACTACTACTACTACTACTACTACTACTTCTACTACTACTACGACTACGACGACGACTACTACTACTACTACTACTACTACTACTACTACGATGACGATGGCGATGACGACGACGACTAGTCGTAGTCGTAGTCGTAGTCGTAGTCGTAGTCGTAGTCGTAGTCGTAGTCGTAGTGGTAGTCGTAGTGGTAGTCGTAGTGGGGGGGTCTTGAGTCTATTTGGGGGGGGGGGCTGGGGGGCGGGAGGGGGGGTTAATCAAATCGTTAATGGGGGCGGTCCAATTCATCGAAGCGGGTGGCGACAGATTCGCTGTCGTTGCGTTGTAGATCGCGGTCGCGTTCTCTGAAGCGCCAATGTTTCGGAGAGCTCCGCGGATCTGGATCGATCGCGGTCTTCGTGAGCACATGTGTGGCAATGTCGTGTGCAGTGGAGTGTGGAATGTTGGTGTGTGGCGGAGTGTGGATGTGTGTGGTGGAGTGTGGAGTGTGGAGTGGGGTCCTTGAAGAGTAAACAACAAAAACTACAAAGCAGTGCTTCTGTTGCTTCTATATCAATATCGGCATTCATGATTAGCAAGTCGTAGGAGCAATGAGAATAGTCCACAATGGCAACCATAGGTATGCACCACAGAAGGGGCAAGGGTACCCTCCGCCTTGTTGTGCTTCCAGGTATGCCGACACGTGCCACACTTAGGGGCGGGGGAAGAGCACGGCTGTGTACATGAATTCGGTGAAGTCGATTGTCCGGAAGGCCTTGAAGATTTTTTCATCACAGCCTCGACCTGAAAACCCCTGAGCCACTGCAGACCCTTAAGCTTTCAGACCCGTCAGACCGTTCAGACCCTTTAAACCCTGAAGCCCCTAAGCCCTAGGCAGAGGTGGGGAAGGGGCAGCTGCTAGGCTTCGGGGCCTTCGGGGCTTCAGAGCACATTGGAGCAAGGGACGTTCGGGCTTGAGGTTATTTTGTAGGGTCTTTCTTGAGGTGGCAAGAGGGGATTCAAAAACACAACCTACCGGCTCTTTGCCATCTTGAAACCCGACGTCCCAGGCCGGAGATGAAAGCAGCCAAGCAGGGTCATGCGATGGCCACCTGGCAGGTTTGCCCTCGTAAAAAATCGTCCAGGGAAGTCTCCGAGTGCTTTTCTTAGCTTGGTTTTTGCCCCCTTTTGTTTGCCATCAATCCCGTCTCATGCCCGGTGCAGGCCGCTCCGCCCTGGGGTGGCATGAAAGGCATGGGAAAGGGCGGATGCGGAGGACTGCCAGCCTGTCCTCAACATGCCGAGCATGTCTTGGAGGGGTTGTACAAACGGGGAGTTTTGCGGCGGGGGGGGGGGCTGGGATAACGTGTGGAGTACGGAGTGTAACTCCGATCTCTCGAATCCGCATCGCGCTGCCTGCGCCCTGTTCTTGTCTGTGAGGAAAGGGCAAGGTCACCACTATGCGGGCATCGCCTTATCCAACCTATTCAGCAAGCAAAGGCGGCCTTGTCAGCTTTGGTGCTCAGTGGCCTTGGATGAAGACTTGAACCCCCTCAAAGATCCCTACAACCCCTGCAACCTCTACACTTCCTAACTACCGCCTCCACCCCCCTAAACCCCCCCTGAAGCCCCCCCTTCCAAGAAAGCGAAAGGCCAAAGTTGGAGCCCCGGCCCCGTGGCGAGCCCCATGGGGATGAAAGGCATGGGTGGCCCGGGACCCAAGATTTTTGCTCATCTAGGGCAGCCCAACATGTGTTCTTCGGGGGGTTTAGAGGCTTGGGATTCTGTTCAGGGTTTAGGGTTTGATCTTTCTCTCTCTCTCTCTCTCTGTTGGATCCTTTTTTGTTAGGTTGTGATTTTAAGGGTTTTTTTGGTAGGGTTTAGTATCTGTGTCTTGCCCAGGCTTCAAAGGCGGCAAAGCTCCATCTTCGCCGTGCAGGGCCCCAGAAAAAAGTGGGAAACTATCATGGGCTCCATTGGGGGACATGTCCCTGTGCTCTCTTGGGGCTGTCGATTACTCGTCAAATTCTTACGTAAACATTCAGGCCCTAGAATGGTGAGTCAGTGTCTCCATGATTTTGGAAGCTTGTGAAGCTTGCAAGATGGCAAGCTTGCGCAAATCACTGAAGTTGCTCTTGTGGACCACACGTGCCATTTTCTGAGCTCTCAGGAAGGGCAAAGGCAAGGGAAAGTGCAACATCAAGGCGGGCAGGGATACGGAGAGAGGGGCGGCGCCTTGTGTTTCCTCACCCAGTTCCGTGGTATTCCCTCGCCTCCCCTTTGCATCAAAGCCCTGCAGCATCATCGATCTGCGAAGCGGTGGTGCTTGCCTCTGTCAGCGCTGAGCTGACGCCGATCAAGTGTAGAATTCTCCTTTACGTGCGGCGGAAGATTTGATGTCCGTGGTCGAGCGACGAGCTCGGAATTTCATGTCATGAACAATGTCTAACAGCATGACTCACCGAATGCTTGAAGATCCTTTGCCGAAACACACACACACACACACACAAAAGTCGGAAGGCTGCCCCCTAAACCTTTCACTCGCCCCAAGAAGTCCCCAAAATGCCCTCGGCCGCAGACACTGATCAATGGGCTTCTAGAGGCGCAGGCCTTGGCAGTTGTTTTTTTTGTTTTTTTCTGTCGGGGATCTGGTTTGGGGGGTTTGCAGGTTTTGGGGGGATCAGAAGGTTTTGTTAAGGTGTTGGCTTTTGGGGCTTTAGCGTGTTGTGTCGTTGGGTTTTTCAGGGCTTTCGGGATGTCATGGCATGCTGGTGAGGATGGGGAGAATCCGAAAAGCTGCTTCTCAAATGCAGGAAAAGTAAAACTTTTCAGCGTGATCTCGGTTAACAATCCAATTGCCGACTGGTGTGGTGGAGCTCATTTTGGGCTCAGGCCCGGGTTGGGTTTTGCTTTGACGGAAGCTCTCGGCTGGGACCTTGGAAGCACTTTGTATTTGCTGGGCAGGGCTTTGGCTTAGGGGGTAGGCCCGTATGCTAGCTGCTGCGGCGGAAAAATGAGAAAAGAGACACAGCTGCCACAGACTTGCTGCTCCAATCCAACTTCCGGTGACGTTGACTGCGGTGTGGGCTCGTAGCAGTGCAACTCGATGGCAGTGCAGCAGTGCCGACCCCAAGCATCTCCCCAGGGTCCAGTGTAGGGTGGCACCATGGAGCACGCACTCAGTTTTCTCTCACATAGGAAGGAAATTCGTGGAAAGCAACCTCAGAGCCGACGCAGCATGTCCGGGGATTGCAAGATTCGGCCAGAACGCGCCAGGCACTTCCGGGCTGCACCGACATCGACAATGATCGAAATGCTCTCTATGTCGGGTGGCCAAGATGGAAGCTTGGGGGGGAAAGCCTGGGCTGTTGTGTGTTGAGCGATGGGCTCTCCCTTGAGCTGTGGCGCTGCTTCGGCAACTCTGAGTCTACTCCTTGAAGAGCAAACCAGAGGCGCTGCTTGTTTTTTCGTGTTTTTGACATTGAATGCCTTTGGCCTACTGAGATCAGCGGGCTGCCGAATGACACGCAGGAGAGTATGGGCTTTGGCCTTCGGGATTTCAGAGTTTCGGCGAGTCGTGCTCCTTTGAAGGCGCTGAATATCGCTGAATCACCGAGGGACTGTGCCACAACCCTAGACCCGTCTGAAGACATCTGAAGACCATTCTAGGCCCATCTAGAGAGACCCTGAACCCTCAGCCCAGTGCAAGAGGACATCGACCTCTACCGAATCTTTGCCCCCTTTGGTTCCATTGCTCCGCGAGCCGTGGGCCCAGGTTGCGGAGAACTCTTCATTTAGTCCGAATCCCAATAGGAAAATAGCAGGAATAGTAGTCTTCATGAATCATTCTGAATCATTGTGCAGCAGCTCCGAACCCAGGGTGTGCGAGCGATGCTCCATCCAGATGGTACATGCCAGGGCTTCGGGTCCCCGCCTCAGATTCCACCACAGATTCTGTTGAGCAGGATGTGACAGGTGAACGCACTCGTGGGGGAGGAAAACTGTGAGTTTCACATTTGCTTCTTGTCATTTCTTGTCTGAGGTTCGTGAACTACATGGACAGCGGCGCCGTCCAGTTGGCCGCAGCAACGCTTCACGGGCGGGGGCCTCCCTCTGCTGGGTGGGGAGGGGGGGGGAAAGATGTAGACAGCTTTCCCGCTCTTTGTTTCGTCGTCCTGAAGCTGCGCTAAGCGTGTTCGGCTTGTTTTTGCAGTGAGCACGGTGGGATTCTGATGCTTGAAGCGCTTCTTTCGCTGTGCCCGCAGCGAAAGGACGACGATGCCTGGCGGACAAGAGCTGACCGTCAAGCCGAAGGACGCGGTGATCGATCTAAAGGCTGCGCATGGAAGCGCCCTTCGTGGGGCTGAGATCCGAGGGATTTCATGTGATTTCCAGGGGCGGGTGCATATGACCTTCAAAGCAACGCTTGTTGCATCATGAGGATTATGCACCTAGTGTGTGTAGAATACAAAGCAGCCACTGTCCCCCCCCCCCACTTTGCCAGGAGCCCAAGAAGGAGAAGGAGAACGGTCTCAACCAAGGCCCTTGCACATTGTCATCTCTTTTCTTTTTTTCGCGGATGTGTGTGTGGGGGGTTCTTTGGGGGAGAATTTCTTTTTGTTCGAAAGGTACCAAGTAGCCCGAACCACCCCAAAGAAACCCGTGGGCCGTGGTCATCCCTTCCCTCAAGTAGACCTCAATAACTCTCAAGATTCCTGCTCGTGTACGGTCTTCTCTTCAACTGCAAACTGCGATGCACTGCGGCGCACTGTCCATGCGTTCGGATGTACTAGGCTGCTAGAGGCCACGGCCTCGCTTGCAGCGATTTCGAGAGTTGCAGGATGATCCCCATCCGCTTGGAAGAGCTCTTTCGCCTTCGGCTTCGATGTCCTGAGCTGGGGAATATTAGGCTGGCGCCCTCCAGTCCAGACCGAGCCGTCACAGAGAGGTCTCCCTTGTCAGATCAGGCACTTCGCACAGCTCGTTAAAGATTTACCTGCTGGGAGATCTCGGCCCTGTGTGCCGATAGAGTCCGAGAATGCCTCTCAAAGAATGCAGAGGGCCGTGTCCTCGGGGAAGGGTGCCCTGCCCATCCCTGCCCTTCGCTTACTTTGTATCAGACTTTGAAGGCTTTGCAGGCTCTCTTCAATGCGCTCGACCCCGCCTCCTTCTTTCGTCAAGATCAGTCTGCTTGTTCTGCAGCCCTTGAGTTTGGGTTCAGAGAGCCATTCGAAGCCTGGAAGTGCCGCCGCCCGCGAGGCGCCACCCTACAATAAAGCAAGTGCTAAGTAAGTAATAAGTACATACGTACTGCGAGGTATCACTGTTTTTGTGCCACCGATCAGAGGCCGCCATCTTTTTGTGTCCTTGCGCAGGAGCGATGAGCTTCTGGGGGTTTGCTGCTCAGAGAAGCTGTAGAGAGACTTTGCCGGATCTTGCTTGGCTTTCGCACAGGTGTCAGCTGAAGCCCGGCGCAAAGTTCCAAGTAAAGGCCCTGGGGCTTATCTGCATGCTTCGGCTGCTGCAATGCTGTCGCGGTTGCCCTCGGCCCCAATCCTTGATCGGGATGATGTATTGTTCCAGAAGCAGCAAGGGGTAGCAGTTTTGACCTGTTGAATCCTCTGTGATTTTGCTGGCAATACCGGCTTAGCAGAGACTTTAACCATACTCTTCTCTGCAGAAGTTTTGTCCAGGCAGATGCAGGAGGCGATGTCCTGCACCTGTCGCAGGTAGCTGGGCATCGAATTTAGCGGGTGTGGTTTCGAACCGCAGAGCTCGTCGCGCATGCGCGATGCTTTCTGCGATGCTTGTGTGAAGAGGCCTGCCTGCATCAGCCCACAGCTGGCAAAAACTTCCTCCAGGTTGCCTGGGCTGCACATTCGGATTCTGCACGTCCCGGGTTAGGATACCCTATGCACATCACCAGTGCAAATCGACACGCGGGCTGCGCACCTGTGAAGTTGTGTGATGCGCAGAAATGTCCTAGGTGCTTGCAAGCCTCGTGAGTGTAAGGTGTCGCATCTTTTGCTATGACCCTCATTGTCCTTGGACATTGCTGCATCTGCGCGGACAGGTCGTGGATGGAGCGACCTCCTACTCCATAGCTTGCCTACAGAAGGAGCGTCGATGGTCCAAGTGCTCGGGCGTTTGGTGGTGCTCCTCGCAGCTCACAGCAGAGTCTTACACAGGCTTACATAGTCTTACAGCATCCTGACACACGCAGCCACTCGCACTTAGTTTAGGACAAGAGCGAGTATGCCTCCTTCGACCTCTTCTTCCGCACCGGAACGTGCCCCCAATTTGCTTCCACAAGAACCGTGTGTGCACAGCTTCGGTGAGATGGCTCACACAGCTGCCCTGCTGTGGCTACCCTGGTTGCCCTGCGCGCAGGTGCTCCTTCCACAACAAGGGCAGCAGCGAGATGCACCTCACGGGATACTTCGAACCAGCCGGACCCCCCAGATCCCAGCATCCCAGAAGATCACCCTCAACTCAAGGTGCCCAGAGGACACATCATCTTCATGTCATGTTCATACACTTCATGTTCTACACGCTGCATCCACGTGGGTGCCTTAAAACTGAGGATGGCATGCCAGACGACGATGAAGAGGAGGAAGAGGAAGAAGAGGAATCGGATGAAGAGGACCCTACAAGTGAAAGGGTCTTTGTATAGCTGCGTTCGCGTGCGCGGCTGGGTCTTGTAGACCCAGGCGCAGTGCGTCGTGGTGTGCTTCTTTGTGGCCATTGTCTTATGGTCTTCGGGCTTCAGGAGCAGCCGCCACCGAAGAAGCAGAAGAAGAAGTGAGCGTAACCCGCAACACGCTTCCTTCCACGAGGTCGACCACTGAGGAACTTGTCACCAAGCCAATGGCTGAGTAGGGGACGCTGCTGACAAACCTCAGTTGCTGCCGGCCGTGACGCCGCGGTGCGTCCGCCGGTATTTATTTCACCCAGCACAATAGAGGGAAGATCCCGGAGACTCCTGTCAGGATGTGCAGGAAAACTGAGTACTGAAGAGCATGCTGGTGCGGTGGCATGTGGTGGCATGTGTTGCAGCACTGGGCTTCATCGGAAAGATGCTGCTGATATGTGACATGATATATTCTGACGGTTTTTGGGCTCGACGCGAGCTGCGGCCGGAGCTCCGTCACGCCGCAGCTTGGACAGCCTTGTCGAAGCTCTACTGAGACTCTACTGCTTTCGCTGCCGGTCGCCTCCGAGGCTGTGCGGGGCTGGGCACCATGGGCTGCGGGACGAGTGTGCAGCAGGAGGACTGCCCTGAAACCCGACAAAAGTGACCAAACCCAGGCCCACCCCAAACCGTGGTGAAACCCTGCAAAGAAGCCGCGATCTGTCGTGCCATGGAGAATGCAGCAAACATCTTTCATGGTGCTCTTGTTTCCCCAGACTGCCTGACCATGAGTGTCAGATGAGACACCTGGCTCCGCTACTTCATTGACCAATTGTCATGCCAATCCTGCAAAACCCTCTATCACTGAAAGCTCCTTCTCCGAGCAAGCTCGTCGCCGAAGGTGTGTACATCTACAGCGCACACAGGGCCCACGGCTAAGGCTTCACATCGTTTCAACAATGCACCCCACAGAAGCGTGTGGTCTTTTAACAACGGGGAGGCAACCCCTGTTTTGAGCAACTCATGCGACCACGATTCTCTATCTACAGAGAAGCCCATGAGTAGTGCACTTCCTGGGCAGCTGATTCCGCTGCTGTCGATGGATTTTGCTGGTCTTGGATTTGTGCCCAGGGGCCATGTCTGCACCTTGGAAAAAACGGTCTCCCACGCGAAGCCCTACACTCCGCCAATGCGTTAGGGAGGTGTTTCTGTGGAGAATTTATGTACTTAATAATTCGAGTTAGTTAAACTAATTATTTAAATGGGCAACGGGCCGGTCGGAATGTTTCCGACGTCGTCTTGTGGACTTCAGCTTGCTGGAAATCTAGCCCGAGCACGATGAAAGACTGCAGACTGCAGACCTGAATGGAAGGACATCAAGCCCGTGACCGAGTCCGAGGAGAAGCTTGAGGACGGGATGGCGCTATGCCATGGGTTGCACTTTGGAGCTGTTGCGGGGGATGTGTGTGCCTCCTTTGCAAAACGGTGGGTTCCTGATGAGGAGCCCGGAACCTGGGCATCCAAGCCCTCCCAGGCGCGTCTTTCGCTGGGGGCGGGGGGTGAGCCTTGGTAGCATCCTCTTCAGGGAGAGATCTTGTTCACGGACTTTTGCACTTTGGCCCCCTTTGTAGGTGGACAGGCCTGCAGTCTCGACTGCCGCAGCTCGGGATCGAGAGGCTGCGAAGGACTCCGGTGCTTGACGAGGTTTCAGGAGGGGTTTTTCCTGGGTTTTGAAGTGGGCCCTCTTCCCCGCTGGCAGGATCCCGGTGCGGTCGAGGTCTTAGACTTCGGCTTGGTGTGAAGAGCGCCACATTGCGCAGAGTGGTGTCGTTGGGACCTTCATGGATGCCTCAGGCTTCTGACGAGGCTGCGACCGGTTCAGGCACAAAACGAAGCTTCAGAGACCAGAGCTGTGCCCGAGCTCTCTTGAACTGCTGTGATCTGTTGTGTATTCTGTTGTGTATTCTGTTGTGTATTCTGTTGTGTATTCTGTTGCGCAGGTTCACTGCACAAGCCGGTGGAGCCTCTTGCTCGGGAACCTTTTGCTTGTCAAAGCGCAAAGTAAAAGGCTCTCGCTGCTATTCGAGGCATAGTGTCGTGGTGATGGATCCGGATGATGGCGACGATGTCGAGGTCATCTATGAGGCGACTAACACACATGGGGGACTACATGTTCCCAAAGTACCGGAACTTTGTTTGATATGGGGAGGCAGTGGGCTTAGAGGACGGATACCCTCGCGCCGAATTCTGAGTTGTTGCTCCTCGCCAGGGGAAGGGAACCTCAAGTGCGAGAGACGTTCCTGAGACGCCCTCCATAGCGGCCGAAGGTGAGGCCGAGGCCGAGAAGGGATTCATGCCACCTTGCCCCCGTTGCTCCGGTTGTCTCTGCGAGGATGGCCAGGCCGACGTGGATCTTGCCCTTGCTATGGTAGCCGGTGCAGGGCCGGCGCTGTTGAAGGGTTGTGAGAATTTGGGGACATCAGCGGGGGAGGGAAACTGCTGCAGTGACAAGAAGCACCTTTTCACAACGCATTTCGGTCAATCTGGGACAGATGGGACAGCGTTGTGGGAGCTCTGGGTGTTGTTCTTGAGGCTCCCCATGCTTTTTCAGACTGCCAGGATGATGACCCGAAGCCTGTCCTGTCAAAGCAGCTGTCAAAGCAGCAGCAGGAGGAGGTACCATGCCACCCATGTTTGTAGTTGTGCTACTGTGCCAGCTTCCTGTAAGCCCTCCATAGTCCAGATCTCGTGCAGTGCAGAGGCAATCTGCGTTTGTGCGCGTTCTTGAGGCGGCCAAGATGGCAGAGCATCGAAAGCGGTTCGACAACCAGAGGCACCGGAAGACGGGGGGAGAGATGGAGTCTGCGGAGCTCGGACATGCCTTTTACACAAGTAGTTGTCAAACTTAACAACTCACGGAAGCAAAGGACAAAAAGTAGGTAAAGGAAGCCAGTAGAATCCACTAGTGGAAGCGGCATCCTGGATTGGCTCGCGATAGGGCGGAGACATTGCGGATACGGGTGTCATGCAACTGTTCCAAATGGACCAGACGTGCGGCGTATTTTGCACAAGTCTCTAGCGGCGCTATAGCGCATCCTTAGAAAGTCTCCTTTCCTATGATTGCTGAAGTTGGTAGTATTGCGATCATCAACCTTACTTCCATGGCACTGAGTAGCAGGTGTGAGAGTTCTTCAATGGGCGATCTGTATTTCCAGCAGGGCTTCTTCAGTTTGGAGCTTGTTTATCACATTGTCCTGGGACTTGTTGACAAAAGGGTGGTAGGCTATGCTTTGAAACGAAGGACACTCAGGGCATTGGCACATGCTTCTGCTCTGTAGCTTCATGAGATGATGTCAGGGTCTGGCAGCATGGCTTGGCAATTTGGGCAGGCATATCGGTTACTGTACATAGCAACTCAGCATGTTAATGCCCCAAGCCCCAGACTCCCTCTAGCTCCCACCTTCTGCACAGGTATCAGAGAGGCCAGTCTGGCTCTGGCGAGACAGGCCTGGCCTGGTCATGAGGGCATGCTTCCAGTTGGGGGCCGGGGGGGGGGGGGGGTGAGGTTTGGCGTCTCAATGCTCTCCAGGTCCCGGGGCTGCACCGGTTCCGGCGATCTCCCCTCAGAAGGCGGGCCCAAGGCTTCAGGAGGTCGAGGGTCATGCAGGTCTCTCTTGGCACCTTCGAACCCGAATTCCCAGCCCCTCTTGACTCAGAGACCGGACCGGGGCAGGAGAGCAAAGCGGCCCACGAGATCATGGGAAAGGCACTCAGCGCCGCCTTCATGCGCAGATTCTGTGAGCGTAATCAGATGCGTAGACCTCGGCATTTCCCTCTCTCTGTCTCTCTCTCTCTCTCTCCATATATGTATGACGTACCTTCGTATGTATGTACGTACGTATGTATGTACGTATGTATGCGTCAAACAAGTAAGTTGATGTTAATGCTTTCTCTCTGACTTTGCGCCCAGCGAGGTTCCCAGTTCTGTCTTCTGCTCAGCTTAGTTTGTTTCTTGCAAGCTTCGGGCTTGCCAGCTGAGGCGTAAATTCCTCCGCCCTCACTCCCAGAAAGGCGAGGAGTCTGGTGAAAGGTCGTTTCTGATGCATCTTTCACCTGCGTAAATCAGAACGTGCATGGGAGCAGGTTTCCTTTGGGACCCCTAGGTCCTCACGTGTCTCATTTCCTGGAGGCAGGCTTGGAGGAGTGCCTCCCTGGCGGGATCCTGGAGGATGACCTGCCGGGCCAGGTCTCCGCCCTTTAGGGTTCAGGGTGAAGGTTTGGGGTTCAGGTTTGGGGCTTATTTCCCAGGGGTTAAGAGTGCATCTACTCAGATGGTGGAGGTGGCCTCTGATGGGCCTGCATATTATTGGCGAGATTGTTGTCTTCTTTGTGCCAGGGGTGTTTCAGGCGATCCTCCAAGCACTGGTGGTCACAGTCATGTTCATATGATGATTGCAACCTTCAGCATGACAGACCACCGTGCCTACTCGTACGCATCGGAACAATCACTTTGACGATGACGACGAGATGCTGATGAAGGTGGGATGTGCTCGCTTGAAGTGCATAAATAAGGTGAAGTCCCACCATGATCCAAACATGCGAAGGAGATTCTCGACAGCATCGATGGCTGATGGAAGCATGAGCCTGCAATGCCTCCATGATAGGCTTCTGCACTATGTCTTCTGAATTGGCAGATTTGGTGCGGCAAAAAACTCAGCACGCGTGAGCCTTCAGCACTTGCTGACAGTGCTCTACTTGTAAGGGCTCCGCTTGTAGGTTACAGTTGTGTTGATGTTCGAGGCATCTCCACAAAGCCCAGAAAGCTCAAAGCTGACGGCTCTGCGCGTGCCGTTCTGTGCCGCACCTCCCGTGTCACACCGTGGCTAGGAGCCAGGCGACTTACTCGGGAGTCAGAGATCGCCCGAGCGTTGGTGGCTAGAGCAACAAAGAAGCCACTGACATGCCCCACGCAGGCGAACTTTGTTCCCCTTCGTCTACCTCATGCTGGCAGTTGCAGGTGTAATTAGAGTTCGCGTTCAAGTGCCTTTCGCAGACAAAAAAAGAAACTCCCTACTCAAAGCTTGAACTTGATGAAAAGGCTATGTGACAGGCAGCTTTCGTGCTATGCGCAGAGAGGTAGCAGCACTGCCGTGCCAGCTGCAGCCTTAGCCCCTGTGGTGTGACTTCCAGACGGCTAGCCTGCCCTTGGTCTCACCGCCGCTGTTACCAGTGCTGTACAGCTGAATTCCCCGCGCGCAAATGCTCTTCACGCACCTACTGGGTTGATCGGTCAAGCCAGGTTTTCACGTCCACTCCGTACCAAAGGTACGGAGCGTGCAGCGTCGAAGTTAATCTTGTGTGGACGTCTGTGCAACTTATGCACCTGCCACGCGCATGTGTGCTTCATCTTCGAGATGCTGCAACTTTCTCGGCGGTTTCACTTGTGATAGATGGCCTCTCAAGGAGGATGCAAAACATGGGATCTTTCAACAGATGTGCGAGGCTCTTATCGCATGCCGGGTCTGGAGTCAAAGCTACATTCGTCCTCAGCAAAGCCAAGCCCCCAGTTGAAACTGATTGAAACGATAACTTCACCACCTAAAATAGGGGCCCTCCAACAAACCACAACCTGTATTGGGAAAAATGGCTGCGCTCGGCCATCAACCGGCGGTCCGGATCCGAATTTGTGGTTCGCAGTGACAACCACGGAGAGATGAGCACGTGACACCACACCCGTGCCTGAAAGCGGACCTGCTGTGACCCCTGGAGATTCTAGGGATCAGGATTTAGGCTTGAAGGTTTAGCCCTAAGAACCTTTGCCTGAGCGCTTTCCCTAGCCGAAGCATGGCTCATGGCCTGCTCCGGGGGCCTTTGGGGCTTGGAGCAACACGAGGCGTCTTCAGACACCACTGTTGGAACCTCCAATATCTTAAAGACCCAACTCTTCAAGAAGGACTCGGTTCGAAATCTCCTTGCGCAAGACTCAAAAGTCTCCTACAGTACAGATGACGGCTCTCTCGTGCGACAGGTCCTCGGCCAACTGCAGGAGGACGCCGAGCTCGTGGAGCTCGAGGACGCAGGGGGAGCGCGCAGCCGGAGTAGAGCATCAGTCTCAGAACGCGTTCGAAGGCCCGCATGCGATGCTCTCTGCTGTTTCCTTTGTGCACTTGAGTGCTCTGCCCCAAACCTCGCCATTGATTCTGGGCGACACGGTTTCTTTCTTCAGAGAGGGTGTCTTAGGGTGCTCACTTGGCTCCTTGGACAGTATATTGCAACAGCACAGTCTGAGCGTTCCGGAGTGTGGAAGGATGGGGAGCATGTGTCCTCGGAGACCATCCTTCCGGAAGAGGCGCTGCCTCATGATGTCCGGTGAGGTTTTCTGTAGCATGGAGCAGGGATCCCTGATCTCTAGATCCTAGTCTTGACCCGAGGCCGGTGAGGCCTTCAGCCCCCTGCAAGCGTCCTCGACTTGGCTGGAGGCCTTCTCCCCTTGGCCTGCCCTTGTCCAGAGCAAGGAAGAGGAGAAAGATGACAAAGATGATGATCCGAGTCATCCCGCCTCACCAAGCATCCATGGGCTCGATCAGTCCCTACAGTCCCAGCAGTCCCAGCAGTGCCAGCAGCCGCATCTCCGCTACCAGCATCGAGCGACGCCCTCGAAGCCCGCCACGCGGAAAGACCAGGCCTGGAAGATGTCCTAAGCTCTAAGCCGCCTAAGCCTAAAAGCACCCCTGGCGATGGCTTCGTCGCCACACACAGGGCAGAATCTTTTGCGCACCTGGCATCGCTTGTAGCGGCAGAGCCAAGAGGCGCCGGAGTGCTGGCATGGAGCTGCTTGGGAAGCTCTCTCAGCCCAGGTGCCCGGTGTTTTTTTTTTTTTTTTCTCTCTTCATTTTTCTTGGATATCTTGGGTAAGCCGGTAGGCCGGCAGAATTTGGCCAAGAGTGCCGAAGTTTCATGTCGGATAGTCGGGCCCGTTGGCAAGGCACGATCGCTCGACGAGGAGCTCTCGGCTTCTGAACATCAGGAGCAGCTGCGTGGGGCCTAGATGTGCTCGGTGCTCCCCCTCACTGTTCCGGGGGTGTTTCGTTATGTTTCGTTTCGCAGATCTCCTTTCGATTCCTCCCCTTTTCCTGCTGTGCACGGAGGTCCTCGACCGAGCAGGCAGCTGCCAAGGTGGGCAAGATGTGTCGGTCACGGAACACCCGTCTAATGGGATTTCTTATCAAGGCTTTAGAAGCAGCAGAGGCACAACTCTTCCAACTGCACAATCGACTTCCGAGACACCTCAGGCGGAGTGGAGCCGTTGCGTGACAAATGCCTCCAGCCACGAGGCCCGAGAGGCCTCGGATTTTCATGGATGCGGGAGTGCGACTAACGCTGGGACACCGTTCACTGCTGATGTCAATGTCTGCAAGAGTTGTTTCATGCGACCTGAAATGACAGGCTTCAAAGAAACGGGCAGCACACATCGTTGTAGCATGAATCCGTATTCCAAAGGAGTACAAGGGGCCTCTACTGCTACCAAGTCTCGCTGCACCTTTCGAAACTGCCTCCACCTGGGCAAGTCATTTATGGATCAGCATATACATGTACATGCAGAGGAGTATAAATATTTAATGGCTACCGCCAGTGCCGCCGACCCCAGACCCAAGACAGTCGCATTGGGGCGGAAGGCAGGGTGGAGCGCGGGCAGGCGGGGGGGGCGGGGGCGGGGGGGGTGGGGGTGGGTGGGGGTGGAAAGGGGGGCGGCGGTGGGGTGACGGTAGAGGGTTGGTGTCGGATTAGGGAGTTGGGGGCGGAAGGCAGGGGTGGACTGGGGGGCATAGAGATGAAGAAGCGATGAGAGCGGTGAGAGCGGGGGGGCGGTCGGATGGTGCACGATGGTGGGAGGGGGTAATGATGAGGGCTGGGGAGGGTTGGTGGGAGGGTTAGGGAGTGGGAGTGGGAGAGGGTGGGGGCGGCTGGCGGAAAGGGGGGCCTGACTCATTTGACCAGCTCTGGTGAGAGGGTTGGGGCGGAAGGCAGGGTGGAGCGCGGCGGGTGGACAGGGGAGGTGACGGTTGAGGGTTGGTGGAGTTGGGGGCGGAAGGCAGGGGAGTGATGAGAGCGGGGAGGCGGTTAGGGCGGGCTTGGATTGGAATCCCTCAAACTAGAGATTTGTCAGGGCGGAGTAGGGGGTAGGGGCCTAGGAGGGAAGGGATGGGGGGGGTGGGGGGGGGTGGGGTTTCAGAGTCGAGGGTGGGGGGTTGAGGGCAAAGGGTTGGTGTCAGGGAGGGGTGGACTGGGGGGCATAGGGAGGGGGAGTGATGAGAGCGGTGAGAGCGGTGAGGGCGGTCAGGGCGGGCATGGACTGGAATGCTTAAAACACTAGAGATTGGTCAGGGGGTGGTCGGGCATGCACTGGACCCTTTAAACCACCTGAATGGATGGGGTGGGGGGGGGTCAAAGGTCCAATTCAAGGCGTCATGGGTGAGGGCGATGGGTGGTGGGGTTTGGGCATGCACTGAAGCCAAACAATGCAAAAACACTCCAATTCAAGGTGTCATGAGCAGCATGCTGTGAGAGCGGGTGAGGGCGGTGAGGGCGGTGGGGGGTCTTCACTGACGCCGCCCTGCTACCGCTGGGGTCGGCGGATACATATCAAAAGCGTCAGATGAACATAAATTTATATATTTGTTTTCATGAGTATGCATGTGCATCGTAATATGCGTATATGAAAACGCCTGTGTATGTGTATCTGTTTACGTGTATGTATATGTTTACGTATATGTTTACGTGTATGTGTATGTACTTTATCTGTGTCAGTTTCAGTATTTGTTTTTGTGCATGTATCAGCCGAATAGACACAAATCAGGAAAAGCAGATAACTAGGTATGTATATGTATATATATATATATATCTAATATATATATATATATATATATATATCTGTGTTTGCTCACATGTATGCATACTTTTGAGTTCAGGGTGTTTGACCAGAGGAGCGCCGGGTCCGGAGCGCCCGGAGCGAGCTCGCGGAGCTGGGTCTCGCGCTTGAAGGGTGTAGACAGACCTTTGCTAGGCAACCCTAGGCGAAGCTATTAAAGAGAGGGCAAAGAAACACATTCTTCTCCACATTCCGTAGGGTGGGCATTGTGCAGTGCTCTGAGAGGTTCGGTTCTGCGGGGGTCTAGCTTCGAAGGGCCACATTTTTTTTTGCATGGAAGGGCAGCAATGCTTCGAACATGCTTCAAACATGCTTCAAGCATGCTTCAAAACATGCTTCAAAACAGGCTTCGAGCAAGTGCCACCAAGTTCCTTGGCGGCGGAGCTTGGCCTTGACTGAGGCGCCGAGGGCCAGCGACAAGATTCGGTGTTCCGGCAGGCGAGACAGTTCCAGCAGCCTCTGGACGGTTCTCCACACTTCTCCAGATCTCAGCGCACTCGCTGAAACCTTTCTGAAGGTCCCTTGTGTGCGGATTGTGCGGGCTTAAGACAGGAGCGAGACCGGCTTCGACAGCGACTCCGCAATTTGAAGATGCAGCCTGGCCTGAGACTCCTGAGATGGAGAGGGAGAAGTTGTGAGCTCTGCACGCCTTAGCGACGGTGGGAGGGAACTTGAGCAAGCTGACGTTACACTTGTTCATTCATCTTTTTGGGCTCCTTATAGTCTCGTCAGTGTCCCCGGGGACATGGAAGTTCAAGTGCCAGGGCTCGGCAAGCCAGCCGCCAAAGTGCAGAGGCGCTCTTCCATGGGTGCTGTCGCGTTTTGTTCTTTGTGTGCTAGATCAGCATCACGTCATCACGTCTGCTTACACGTGTTTTTGCGCGCATCTGCGTTGTCTTCGAAGAATCAAGTACGGGAAGCAGTGCCTCACAGATGCCTTCTGCAGGGCCCGTTGGCTCAGCTGCAGTGCCTGGATTCCTTCGATCGGACGAACTTGCAGGCAGGTATGAATCATGCAAGGAATCACACGTTCGGCCGGTAATTGTGATGTCTGGAAGGCAGCTTGTCCCTCGCCCATCCCCAGCACGAACCAGTCCTGCCAGAGAGCTATGTCACAGAGCTCACTGGTCTCCCATGAAATCCAGAGGCCTGTGATGCTGTGCAGTGGAAGCAGTTTGAGCTTGCGGTGGTGCGGTGGAAGGTATCCCCCTCTCCGGAATTTGAGCTGTTTTTAGAAGTTCCTCCTGAGGTCTGCTTGGGCGCGAGGAGGCTTCTTGTCCGAGGCAGGGCTGAAGGGGATGAGTCGTGCTGCAATCATGCCAGCTCGAGAGGTCGCGCCAAGAATTCACGTCCAAGAGATTTTCATTTCAGAATGTTGCACCAGAGTTGTCTTGAAGTTGACAGGGCCCGCGCTGCGAGAGATCCAGCAGGTGTCAGTAGGACTGGAAAGGAGCGACTCGCACTTCACGGTTTCGTGGGCTCAGCTCTCAGCTTGGACCTTCCGGCCTTGTGACACGCCTCGCAGGCTCCGTTGCCGCAAGGGTGAGCTGCAGAAGCGCGCGGAGGAGCATCGGCATCGGAAGAGTTGAGGAGAAAAAGCACAGAGAGAGAGAGATAGAGAGCACTGGGGTTTCCCCAAGTTCCCCAAGAAAGAAACAGAGCGATACACATACATATACATGCACATGACATTACATATATATATATATAAAATATATAGGAGTGGGCTGCCTGGCCCGAGCGGAGTAAGGTTAACTGGGGAAGCCTCAAAAAGCTGGTGAAAAGCAGCCCTCCGGTGAAAAGCTTTACACGGACCTTACACAACGTAAGCCCGCCTGGCGCACTGGGGTTCACACCCTCAGAGAGAGAAAGTCGCATTATAAGTTTGTAAGAGGATTGACGAATGTGTGAAACGATCGTTCTTCATGAAGGACCTTCGACGCTCTGCTTCCTGTCGGATCGTGAGGTGCTGCATGTGGAGTGACCTGGCGGCAAAGGGCCTGAAGGGTTGGGGGGTTTGGGGGGTTTGGGGGGGTTTGGGGGGTTTGGGGGGTTTGGGGGGTTTGGGGGGGTTGGGGGGGTTTGGGGGGGTGTGTTTGGGGGGGGGGTTTGGGGGGGGTTTTTGGGGGGGTTTTTGGGGGGGGTTTTGGGGGGGTTATGGGGGGGGTTTATGGGGGGGTTTATGGGGGGGGGGTTATGGGGGGTTTATGGGGGGGGGGGGGTTTAGGGGGGGGTTTAGGGGGGGTTAGGGGGGTTTAGGGGGGGGTTTAGGGGGGGGTTTAGGGGGGGGTTTAGGGGGGGGGTTTAAGGGGGGGTTTAAGGGGGGGTTTGGGGGGTTTAGGGGGGGTTTAGGGGGGGTTTAGGGGGGTTTAGAGGGTTTAGCGGCATTTAGGGGCTTTAGGGGCTTTAGGGGCTTTAGGGGCTTTACGGGTTTTTAAGGTCTTTTGGGGGGTTGGTCGGTGCTAAGTTTTGCTAGACATTCCTGTACCTGAGCCCCAAGCCTGCTGGGTCTCCCCCGAGGTACTCCTACAGTTGTTGACTACGGCCTGCTATTCTTCGAGGGCTTGCCTCGCTATCCCTAGACCCCAAACTCATGGCTAGCGCTACTCGTTTTAATTAGTACTGGCACTGGTATCATGGATACATTGCTTTCCCCCATCTCCCCCGCCATCTCGTATTTGGGTGCTAAGGACATTTCAGCTCCTCCAAAGCCAGGAGGCCGAGGCCTGCGTGGCCTTGGCTGAGCAGCGGGTCGCCCTTCGCAAGGCCCTCCCAGAGAGTGCATTCGACCCCGATGGGTTCAGGGGATAGGGCTAGAGGGTGTCAGGGTGGCTGTTCCACTTGGGGCTCAGACCCCAAATTAGACCCCAAACCCAAAAGGTTGTCATGACAGGTCATGATGTTTTCAAGGTTCGATGTCGCTGTGCTGTGAGCCGCACACCCCCCCCCCCCCCCCGGTGTTCGAGAGGTGGAGCACGAGGCCGATGCCGCGCATCGGCGCGCGGCGGAGGCGCGAAAGGCGCAGCGAGAGGCCGGTAGGAAGCGGAACCCTGCATCTTCCTAAAAACCCTAAAGGCCCAAAACCCGAACTGCAAATCTGTGGGCTCCGCCTCTCTCGCCCTGCCTTTGGATACCCCGGGGTTGTCCTGTGGGCAAAGTAGGCCAAGTGGCAGCTGAAGTGCTCGCGGGGGAGGGGTTCGGGGATTTCAGAACCTTGGGGCTCAGCAAGAAGTTGGGCACCCGAGGCGGCGACAGAGCTGGCCGCTTCCGAGCAGCTGCTTCAGCTCCAGTCCCGACGCGAGTCGTCGAGCGTGAACATGGAGGTTCTTTGCAGCCGTCAGGAGGCCTGGGTTTGTTGCTTTGCAGCTGAGGTGGACTTAGATGAAGTTACCAGAAGCACATGGAGAGAGCAATCGTAGCTCTAGTATATCTGGCTTCCTTTCTTGGGCATCTTATATTTTGATTTCCTCAAGAGCAGCCCAGTTTGGGGCAAGCCCGCGAAACCACCAACCCCACAAGCCCTAAAGTTGTTTGTGTTTCGCGTGTGGTTTGGTGGGTGTTTGTGTGTCCTTCTCAAGTTGAAAGCCTTGAGGCGATCGCATCCTGGGTCGAGGCGGAGATCGGGATGCGGCAGGTGGCTCTGGTGAAGAGGCGGCTCAAGGAGATGGTGGAAGACTACGGCTCCAGAGCCAAGGCCCTGGAGGCTCCCTCGGGGGGGTTTTGGGCACGATGATCTTTGGGCAGTCTGAGTATGGGTGTTTCCAGGTTTTGGTTCGGAGTTCCAGAGCCTCCCCCTCATAAGTTCGGTGTTGAAGACTCAGAGCCGAGATGAGCCGCGAGATGTTCACAAGTCCCCCACTCCACTTAAAAATCCGGGGGAAGAGGAGGCCATCGCCGAGATCCACGTGGACTTGGACCGGCGGGCAACGGCCATCCTGCAGCTGAAGGGAGCGCAGGAGGCGAAGGAGGCGACCTCAGCGACCTCAGCGACCTCCGTCTTCCAGGAGGAAGCCCTGGAGGCCGAGCTCCTTCAGGAGGAATCCCTCTTCCACTTGAGGCACCGGCAGGTGCAGGGCCTCGAGGAGCGGCTCCAGGATCTCTTGGCCCAGGAGCGCCACCGCAGGGCACATCGGTCATGGTATCCGTCATCGTATCCGTCATAGTATCATAGCCTCAAGTCGCACAAGCAATGGCATGATGGGGTGCCGCGTCGTTGACGCATGGGTCAGACTCTTTGTTCATGGCGTTGTGCGTGTGTATGCTCTAGAAATACAAGCGAGTCGCCATCGAGAGCCTTTCCCGGATTCCCGAAACGGTCCCCATATCTACGAGAGCCTTTCCCGAAACGAGGAGGGCCCGCGCATGGAGGCTTTGGGCGCTTGGGTGGCCGTGCACGAGCCGCTCTTGACCAAGGAGCTCGAGCGGTCAGAGAAGGCGGAGCAGGCAGCGGCGGCCGAGGCGGCGTGCGAAGCAGCCAAGCAGGAGCTTTGCCCTTGGTGCCCTTTCCTTTTTTGTTGCCTTTTGCTTGTTGACATGTCGTGAAGAGCTTGTATTTGTAGCTACTGGTGCGAATGTGCATCTATGGTCAGGCACACACTTGCGCTATCTTGTACCGTCTTGTATACTTCCCGCGCTTCTTTCAAGCAAAAGAGGAGCTCACCATCGACTTGGCCAAGCAGCGGAGGTCCGAGCATGTCTTCCTGGCCGAGGCCCAAGCACCTCTTAAGATGTTTTCAGCTATTGTGATATGCGATTATTGAATAGTCTTGTAATATGCTCTGTAAACTCTTTAATACGTAATGATCTACAGTAGGTTGGAAGGTGGATCGAGGTGGGTGGACAAGCGGCATCCAAGTTTAACCCCAACCGCCTCTTGACACCCTTTCACGCGCGTCTCGAGATCTTCAACCCTGTGGGTTGGAGGCCTGTGCGGCTGCGGTGGCGGAAGCGGAGAGGGCTGCCAGACAGGCCGGCCCTGCTCTCCATGTTAGGGCCGTGCCGTGCCATGCCAACGCAGATCCGCCCCCCAAAGCCGCCTCCGAAGGCTGCAGCGCTGTACCGGCAGCGTGGGCTCCTGCTGAGGGATGTGGATGGCCTGGGGCGGGAGGCGCGGAGCTTCGAACAACAATTGTGTGTCACTGCTGAAGTTCGGGTGCTATTTTGTTGTGCGCGCTGTTGTAGCTGTGTTTCTGGCTGCTGAGCGCTGAATTCTACACGTATCATCACATCCGGAGACCCAAGTCAAAGCGACTCCTCCAACCAAGTGCAAGATTCAAGAGCTGCCGCGCATGAGCTCAGAACTTAAGGCATTCCGGGTTCAGGCTGTCGGTCAGAATTCGTGTTTTTGAGGTTCAGGGGAGTGTGGCTCAGAGGGAAGGGGGCGGGGATGGGAAAGAAGCAGAGGCGGGGGGAGGAGGAGGAGGAGGAGGAGGAGGAGGGGGAGGAGGAGGGGGAGGGGGAGGGGGAGGGGGGGGAGGAGAGGAGGAGGAGGAGGAGGAGGAGGAGGAGGAGGAGGAGGAGGAGGAGGAGGAGGAGGAGCACGAGGAAAGAGCTTAATGCAAGGTGTAGTTACTGTAGTTTTTAGATTGCCGAGGCACTCCGAAGCCCTCCGTTCTCCAATTCGCCCTTGGTTCACATCGAAATGGTTGAAGATCCTTTGTAAGGAGACCCAAGGGAAGCTGATGGGGAATAGAAGCGACTCCATAAGAAGCCTCAAAGCCCTAAGTACGACAGCTTCTAAGAAGCCCGAAAGCCTCGTTTCAACAACTCTGAAGGGACTGCACAAGTGGCCTGTCTCGCAGGAGCGTGCGGCCGCAGGTCGCGCCGAGTCCGCCTGCCAGCACTTACGCCGGGACCGGCGGAGAGCCGTGGCTGCTGTGGCCAAGGGCCTCTGGGAGCAAGGCCGGGGAGAAGGGTCCCAGATGGATTATGGGATATTCTGCGGGGAGGGGGGATGTTCTAAGTCCCCAAGTAGTTATGTAGCTGGAAAAAGAAATTTTTGTCAAGATCGGACATCAGAAGAAGCCCCCTCTTGATGAGGTCCCGCGAGCCTACGTGGAGTTTGCCCCAAGGAGGCAAGGCAAAGGGCAGCTGCTCAGGCCTCCACGGGAGTTGTCTCCTGGTGCCACGGTTTGGGGTTTAGGGTTTAGGGTTTAGGGCGCCCTGTGACTCCGGATCTATCGACGGCGGTCCTTCTCGATTCTGGTTGGGGGGCCGGCTCTTTGTATTTTCCCGCTCAAGAGTCCTGCAGGGATGATTCTTTTGTACGCAGGCAGAAGAATTGGTTGAGGCTTCGCGTGGAGAGCAGCTGCTCGGCGATACATCAGACTTGACCCGAGGTCTGCATTGTCTGCTTGACGTATTTTCAGTGTTTCGGATGTGGTCCTGCATGCCTAATTATGCGCAAAACAGCCCAGGATACAAGAGCTGCGGAGCCTCAACGAGGAGATGGCCAGGGTCAACGCAGAGATGGTTGAGCTTAAGGAGTTGTCGAAGGCCGTCCACGTATGTCTCAACAATTTCCAGGGGGCAGGGACGTGGATTGAAACCCAGAGCAGTGTTGGAAAGGCTCTGCTCTTTTGTGAACGGGATCAGGCATCAGCAGTGTCCGTCTGTTGTTTTTCCTCTCTCTCACTCTCTCTTCTCTCTCTCTCTTCCCTCTCTTCTCTCTGTTCTCTCTCTTCTCTCTCTCTCTTCTCTCTCTTCTCTTCCCTCTCTCTTCCCTCTCTCCTCTCTGTTCTTTTTCTCTCTTTCTCTTCTCTCTCTCTCTCCTCTCGCGTCCTCCCTCTCTCTCGCTCCCTCCCTTTCTCTCGCTCCCTCCCTTTCTCCCTCTCCCTCCCGCCGTTTCTGTTCTGTCTGTTGACAGAGGCCGAAGATGCGCAGGTGGAAGCAGCGTGGAAGCAACCCAACGAGGCCGCCGTGGCTTCCTTCTCGTATCGCTGCTCCATGGGCGCGCGTCCAGGCTCAAAGACAGCTGAAGGTTGCAGAAGCCCAGGAGGCTGTGCCAGCCGCACGCCGCAGCCATTCAGGCACACATGTAAGTCGAAGTTACGAAGTTGCTAACTGTTGATGGCTGTTAAACTGAAAGGCATCAGGAGGAGCGGCAGTGTGGGAAGGAAGGCCGAGCCAGAGGCGTCGCTCAACTGCTGCTCCAGCTGTTTAGGAGTGCTTTGCTGATCATGCAAGGGCCGGCTCGAGACAGTGGTCTTAGCCCTTCGAGAGCTGGAACAACAGCAGCAAGCGGAGATGGCTGCCAGACGCTGGGATGAGCATTGTGCTTCCCTGAACAGAACATCTCAATGAATGTCGAACAACGTAGTAAGATCGCTGTCTTCTCCCACCGGTGCGATGCCCCGTAAAGACTGTTATGTTCTTTTCTTTTGGGAAGCAGTGAAGCCAAGGAGAGTCACAGGCCATGGAGATACAGGCCGCGCTGGAGGCTGCCGAGGCACGTCTCGACAGCAGGGGTCAAACGCAGCTGGCGGGTCTCTGTTTGCCATCTGTTTGCCCACAGAAGAGCCACGACAACCGACATCCTAAGCCATCCTAAACTCCGCTCGCCCGGCCCCAGGCACAACAGCCTTGGGACCAGACCCAACCGTGAAGCGGTCCAAACCTACCTCAACCTCCCGAAGCGTCCAAGTGCCTGCAAGCCCGCGAAGCCCGCGAAGCCCTTTGAACCCTGAGCCCACCCTCCCCGCCCAAGCTCTGCAGACCCTAACTGGAGCCCCTGAAGCCGGTCGCCCTCTATATGAAGCCCAGCGCGATTATTATCAAGCCCTAAACCCGAATCCCTAGTACATGCGGAGAAAGGCCTCGCTGCAGCGGTGTCGCGCAGAAAACCGGGCCGAGTCGGCAGCAGCGTTGCGGCGCTTGCGCCGCGCCTCTGGAGAGGCCTCCCCAGGGCTAAGCTCATAGCCAAGCAAGATCAAGCAAGGCTTTCGATTATTTCACGACCTTAACGAAGGGGTTTCGGAGGGTCTTCCGGAGGTTCTTAGAAGGGGGTTGTTGGGGAGTTTGTTTGTTTTTTTGTTGGAGGGGGTGTCTTAGGGGGGATTCTTGGAGGTTATCAGGGGTGGGTGTGTAGGGGCTTGATCGTCGTAACGTGCCGGAGGGGAAAAGGGCCTCTTGTGAGTCTAAGACTCTAAGAGCCTCTTTTCGGGTTTGAGCTGCAGTCCATCCTGAGCCACTTAAACACCAACATTATGAACCCTGAGCCCTAAATTGAACCCCAAGCTACAAACCCTAACCCGAAACCCCCTCCCTCTCAATAACAAAGAAACCATGGCGTTGTCGGGTTTTACCTACTCAGCCTGCAGACGGAAGACGCGGAGCGGAAGTGCTGTGAGCTGGCGGCAGCCAAAGAGCGCGTATGTCGGAAGCCTGAGCTTGCGGGAGGTTCAGGGTCTCTAGGGCACTCAAGGACCTAGTAAGGTACGAGTTTTTTCGGGGGTTTCGATTCTTTGGGGGGCGGTTCGGTTCGGGGTACGGGTTTTTGTTGTAAACGCCACGACGCATCGGCACCTGCGCCGGCCTAGGCCACCGGGCGTTCACGTCGGTGGTCTAAGCAGTGCGTTTCCAGTCCGAGCACGGTCGCGCTGCAGATACGGAAAGCCGCCGAACCCGAACCCGCAGCGCAATTAGAATTCGGAACGTACAGGCTTGCTGGAGGACCCCTGAAGCCCTGTTTGCCTTGGGTTCGCAGTAAAGGCTCGCAGTTTGAGCAGGCTGTGCAAAACCTTCCGGTGCACTTGTCGTCTGTGCTCGTGTGCTTGTTGCGAATCGAGCTTAGGTAGGGCGGTGGGAGCTGCCAAGAAGTCCAGAAGGCAGCAAAAAGAGGGCGAGTTCTCCGCCCTGGAGGATGCCGTCAGGGCCGGTGGCAGGAGGTGTGCTTGTTGTGTTCCAGGGTATTCATGGTTCCTAGCAAGACATCTCAAGGTTTGAGAAACATTGCAGTAAGGTACAATACAAAAAGCTCCAGAGTGTCCAGCTGTTCGACAGTTCACAGCGTGCGCGTGCCTTCTTGGTCTCCCCTACCATGGTGGTACTTCAAAGCAGTCGCACGGGTGGTTGGGTGCGCACGAGGGCTTTCCGGACCCATGTGGGCAGGTGCTGGAAGGTTCCCTTTCGCCCAAGACCATCGCACTGTGTTGTCTGCAAGTCAGCCGAGGCGCTCCTACACGAAGAATCTCAGCACAAGGTTTTCATCGGGGTCCATCAGCGGCCTCCAAAATTGCCGTCGGCTCCTGGCGTGCCGGGGCCCGCTGAGCGCATTCCGCCCATTCCGCCCATTCCGCCCATTCCGCCCATTCCGCCCATTCCTGAAACCCTCAAAGCCCACGCCTTGGTGGATCGGGCGTTGTGGGACGAACTGCAAATGCTACGTGTCGACGGCTTCCGCACGGCCACGAATCTGAAATGCAACAGGAAAAAGCGGTGCAGTTGCACAGCTGCATGCATGTCGAAGAAAGAGCTGCAGTTGCGCTTCGAATCGTAGCATCGACTTCTGTGGCCTCCGGAGGCGGAAGCGTGTTTGACGTCTTTGGGCGGGTCACGGCCGTGAATCACAGCCGCCCACATGTGGGACAAAACCCGACATGCAGCCAGCTGTTCTTAGCTTCTGCCTGTGAGAAGCTTTCATGGCGATTAGGTTTTCGGGGACTTGGTTCAGGGTTCATTGGTTTAGGGGTATGTTCGGGTGAAGCAGCTGGCCAAGCGTCACGGGACCCTGCGAAACTCCAAGGTCGGGCGCTGCGCGACATGTCTTTTGGCACCCTGCGGCCCAGCAACGAGGCTGGTTCGTGTCGGCTTGTGTCAAATTGTGCTTGTCTCTTTCTTCGAGGGTGCATGCTTCAGGGCCTTCGAGCCATTCTTTGCTTCAGTTGCCGGTAGCCCCTGTAGCTTCGGGCCTCCCGGGCATCTCGTGCTTCTTGCTAAAAGCCGAGCTGTTGCCACAGAGTCGTGCACCTCCATGGAGCTGGGAAGGTGGTCTGTGCCCCGGAAGCCGAAGAGCGGAGGCTTGGAGCGATGGGGGTACTGATGGGTACTGCAGGATCCAACGCTAGGATTCAGGACCCTTGCGCTTTCAAATACGTGTGTGGCTGTCACAAGGACATATTTTGCTACAGCTGTCGAAGTTGCTTTTCTTGCCGTTTTCTCGCGACGCTCTGGCCACGATGATCTTGTTCTTGGGACAAAGTTATTCCACTATTGATCTTTACACAGACTGAGGGGGTTTGTGGGTAGACAATTTGTGATCTTGGGGTCTCAATCCAACATATGGGGGGGGGGGGGCGGCAAAGAGGAAGAAGACGAAGAAGCGGAGAGAAAATGCTGCTCAAGATCCCTGTTTCTTTGCACCTTGACAACCACATGCTTCGCTGCGGATTCCTGCTGCCAGGCCGGGGGACGGCGAGGCACCGATCGAGGAAGATCTCCGATGCTTCTACCGCCAGGCCGGAGAGGATTTCAGGAGTTAGGAGGCTGTGGGTTTGGATTGGGCTTTAGGAAGTGTGGGGATGTTCTAAAATTTTCCGGGGAGAGCAGCTCTCCGAGGTGTTTAAGGGTCTGCTTTTCGCCTCCGATTTCACCCTCAGAGGTGCTACCGCTCCTGCAGGGGATCGCCGTCGGCGCGTTGAGACCTCCGCGCACCGCCTTGGAGGCGTTGCGTGGCGATGCCAGGGCTTTCGAGGGGGGTGGGGGTGTAGTGGGGCCTGTAGAGGCACCTGTAGAATGAGCTGCATGCACAGCACGAAGATCCTGTTGCTCACCGTAGACCATTCATTTCCTTGAAGTCTGACATCCAGGAGAGACAGCTTGCCCGAGTCTTATTGCTCCAGGTCTCCAGCTTCTGTTTCAAGATATGTAGCACTGTGTCTCTGTTCTCGCGCTCTCAGGTCCTCAGCTCGGATTTTCAACGCCTTGAGCTGTGGATGCAGGGTGCTCAGTACCGGAAGGGCTGCTAGAGCTGCTAGAGTAGAGACCACGGGCTCTTCACCAGTCATCCGAGAGATGCTCAGGCCTGATGTGCCTGCAACGTCGGATGCTTGTCGAGTCTGAGCGCTCGATGTGCCCATCTCTGTCCAATTCACCAGCCTCAGCTTGAAGCTGCTGTGCAGAGGCGAGCAGCCGCATCAGGGCCGGCTCGGGCCCAAGGCCTTTGCAGGAGGGGAAGCGCGAGCCGAAAGCTCGGGGAGGCGTCCGTGGCGGGAGAAGCCTCCCCGAAGCCCCCCAAAGAAGCCCCCCAAAGAAGCCCCCCAAAGAAGCCCCCCAAAGAAGCCCCCCGAAGCCCCGAATCTTCGTCCATGTTCTTTCACGTTGGCCTGAGGCTCGGAAGCGCGTTGCGGATACCTTCCTCAGGCCCTGTTTGTCCCCCTCTCCTCCACCCTCCGACGGAGCGACCCACAAGAGACCCCCTTGCTGACTTCTGCTTCTTGTGTAGAAAACTTTGTACATCTTGATAATGTGTGCATTCTCTCTCTCTCTCTCTCTCTCGCTTTAAAATCTTATAATATAAAGAGATCTGCGCCCCCGTCAAAGAGAAGGCTGGAGACGCTGGCCCGAGCCGCACACCGAGAAAAGGAGACCTTAGGGAGACTTACGGACTTATGCAAAGAATGCGAAGGCGTGGTTTAGGGCTGCGGCTTCTTGCTGTGAGGTCCATCTCCCTAAGGCCACGCAATTGGCGATACAGCGGAAGGCCAATCGCTCCTGACCTGGGCACATCGTGGCATGTCCTGAAAACAATGTTGTTGAACATGAACAAACTCCAGACTTTGCTTGGAGTCTGAGTCAGCACATTCCTCTGGATGCTGCATGGGGTGCCACGCTGCACCAGGCTGCGTTAACTTCCGCGAGTAAGTCCAGGCGGGGCCTCTTTTGAAGGGCTCCTGTGTGCGAGTGTCACTGACGAAGCCAGCAAAAGGAAGGCATTTGCGCCATGCTGTAAGTGGCATGTGCGCAGGTTCAGCCTTCGATTTGAACTTGTTGTCATGGGCTCTGACACGTGGCATCTGGCCACGAGTGCTTGGCTCTCACTGCGATGTAGTGGAGGAGTATATAACAGTTCAATACATCAGGGAGATCGCAGCAGAATTCCACAGCCCTTGCCAAGGATGTACAAACCTTGCAGATCATCACCAGCGCGGCCTCGCGCTGAGCTTCCGCATTGAGAAGCACAGCGAAGGGCGCCATCACAAGCACACAGCAAACTGCACGGCGACAAGTGGTGCAGAACCGTTGCCATGCCATTGCCACAGGGTTGCCGCGTTATCTGAGGTGAAGGCTCTGCTCGCAGCAAAGGGGAGGCTGGGCGCACTCGCCCTGAGTCGGGGTCCCTGCATGAAGCCGGGTCATGCCACCCAGCCTATAAAAAAGGTGGCAAAAATTGTTTAGCATAGACAATCTCGCTGCTGAATTTATCAGCCACGCTAGGTGTTGTGCTGGCCTTGCTGCCTGACAGGAAACGGTTGCAAAAGCGGACTAGGACTTGCGAATAGCACAGAAGAACACAACACCTGCCCAAAACAACATAGGACCATTTCATCAGCATATGAACGTTGGTTTCCTCCCACTTAAACAACCAATGGAAACAGCTACTTGACAGCAAGCATAGGGGGGACTGCAAGTACGGGTGCAATGCTGTTTTCTTGCCCGGGTCCAAGGTGCATGCGGACTGGGCGACAGAAGAAAGCAATCGGATTCTCCGCGTCTCTGAACTGAGGGGGCTCCTTGGGTCCGAGAGGGAATGTTCATGGCTTCTGTTTCTTCTGGGACAACGAGCTGCGGAGGTCTTGTCTTGCAAGCTTAGCCCAGTCGAATTCTGAATAAGGACAAGAAGGTCGTTGTCTCAGAGCTGTGTGAATAGCACCGGGGGGAGAAGCTGCAGTGCTGCAAAACCGGACAGTCAACTGCCAAGAGCACTGCGGCTGCTCTGCCGCGCCCCCTAAGCTCCGTAACAACCTCCGAAGGGCCCCGAAGTCCTGCGGCATCCCTGATCGTTAGCTTTACCCCTGCGGCTGCTTTTGCTCCGAGGTCTTGGCCTTCATTGAAGCTTTTGGGGTTGAGGGTTGAAGGTTCAGGATATACATATCCTAGTTGTAGGGAGGAGTAGGGTTTCTGGGGATCGATAGGCAGGGTCAGCCCATGGGCCTGATCCTACGAGGTTTCTCTCACGGGTTCATCGGCCTCCTGCGGGTTCCCATTTACTGCGCCAGAGCTTGCGCCATGCCATTGGGACCCCTCAAGGAGGATGCTCTGAAGGCTTGCCTCGCCTCAGAAGGTTTAAGGAACTGGGCTCTTGTAAGGCGCAACACCGGAGCATGCAAACTAGGCCCAGAACACGCAAATCCCAGTGTACCCTGTCGAAAGTCGGAGGTCAGCAGAATTCGGGCGCCCCAAAGGGACTTGCCCTGCACGACTTGGAGGACTCAGGGAGGGCAGTTGGAGGGGAGACAAACAGAGGGCCAACGAAAGTTTGATGCCAGTGTAGATCCCAAACACTGAGAGACTACAGAGGATGGCGAGCGCGACCACGCCCGTGCCTAGGCGAGAGCGCGATTTGCGCCCGAAATGGCGCAGGCCCTGAGAAAACCCGTGGTCTGCAGCGGGCGCGGCGCGGTTCCGGCGATCTAGCCCCTCTGAGCTCTGGACGTTGGAGCCCGTATAGTGTTGACACAGTCACTGGTTGGGGAGAAAACGCTCCCTAAGCCCCGGAAGTCCCAAACCGCCGGAGGAAGCTGGGAAAGCGGAACTGTGCGCCGCCGGCCATCGAAGCGACCCTGCGGCGACGGCAGCAGCAGCTGCAACCGTCGCGATCGGCTCCGCTGCTTCGTGCCCGGCCGAGGCAGCAGGGTCCCCCTCTGAAAGTCACGGTGGTTACGGGTGCAGTTGGACTAGTAGACGCAGCACCAATAGCAGATCGTGCTCGGGCATGCGTGGGCACGCTCGAGAGTGCACGCATCGTGTCGCTTTTCTGTGATATCACCAGCATGTGCCTGGCAAGGGGGGGATGTCTCATCACAACTCTTGGTCGTCCGACTCCCCGAACGAGACTCGAATTTGGCGCATCCAGGTGCGCCGACGTGGACTCTCCGTCCTCCCCTTCCTGGAGTGAGACAGACGAGGGAGCCTCAACGCTGGTCGCCCTTCCGGCAGATTGTTCCAGGGAACCTCGCGCTCCCACAAGTGCCCTACAATAAAAACGAATACTCTTCAAGTCAAGGGTGCCCAAAGAGAGCCCATTGATTCTCTAGATCAGCCCTCGTACTTCGAGAAGAGGGCCTTGAGCGCTGCAATCTTGTATTTGAAGGGCCTCTGGAGTTGTTTTGACGTCTGTCAAAGGTCGCGGTGCCCAAAACAGAGCCGTGCACTGTACGCCCCATATTCCCTGAATCTCCCTTTTAAAAACCCTGAGTCCCAAAATTGGAGCCAAGCGAAGATTCCAGGCCCGCAGCCCTTCCGCTTGCAGTCGACCTGCGACTGGATCCAGGCTGTTCCAGGAGCTTTCAAACAGGGGAAGGGGCCCAATGCCCAAGCTGTCAGCAGAATTGGGCAGCGCCCAACACATTTGGAACTCTGTTCCGCGGGTGGAGGATTCCCCATGCTACAGCAACGCGGAGCAGCCCTTGCCCCTGCAGCCACGTCGAAAGGAGGCAGCTCTGAATCGCTGTGGCAGGCGAATGTGCTAAAGATTTTGAGCGTCGTCAGTCGAGCATGCGTGCCAAAGGCATGGTTCCACATGCTGGCGGGGGAGCACAGCGTGGAGATCCCTTTCGATGAGATCCGTGAGAGCAGCCATGGAGAGGAGCGGTGATGGCAGTGTTGCGGCACTGCAGCTTGATTTTGTGGATGGTTTCGGCATGTTTCGGCACTTTCCATCGTGCTGCCTTGTCCTCAATGCCTCCAGGACTACGTGTGGTGGTTCCAGGACAAACGCTCTCGGCACCGGGCCATTGCCAGCTCAACGACGGCACTTAGGACCCATGCTAGTCTAGCACCTGAACTTCTCAGGAGAAGGTCGCGCAGGGTCGAGCGAATCGAGAGTTGCGCATGCCGCGTGCCTTTGGAAACAGTGCTGAGGCAGCCAGGCGGCGAGACGAGGACACTCGCCTCGACTTGAGACATTGTCGACATTCTGGGCCAAGCATTCTTCGCGAAAAAGGTACCAGTACCCTAACGAGAGGCCCGTCCTTCTCCAGTTCATGCATTGTGGTAGCTGTGTTTGCCAAGGGTCTACACAGGCTACACAGGCTACTCTAAACCTCCGCGCCTCCCCGAGGAGCCCAAGCCCGTGCGATCTCCATTTGGCGGGCCGAGCTCTCGGAGATCTCTTCGGTCCAACAGCCGACACCAGGCACTTTTGCCGGAGGGGGAGCCCTTCTTTGCTGCCCCCAAGTGCCAAGCATGTAGCAAGTACATGAACAAATGGGCGCCCATGGGTGCTGGGCTTGAGCCCGAAGTGCCAGGGGGCTCGTAAGGTTTAGTGCCGAGGTGGGCTTTTGGAGGGTTGACTCAAAAGAACCAACCCCTAAGTTCCCCATCTTCCCCTTGGCCGTGGGCTGCCCCCCCTCCCCCCCCCAACTGAGAGGCGAGAAGCAGCTCCTATTTCAAAAGGCTGCCTTGCTTCGGCATCTGGAGATGGTGGCGGTCCCACAAGGCAGAAGTGGGTTTGGCAAGAAGAGCCGATGAAGCGTCTCTAGAAAGCCCCTTTGAAGCCTTGCCTAGCACTTGTAAGCTTACAAGCCTGCGCCCTAAAAGGTGGAGAAGCTTGGCGGGGGGTTTCCTGATTGTGTTCAGGTCTTCTCTGTTCAGCTTTTGCCCGATAGGTCCGAAGGCACTTGCAGAGGCTGTTGCCTGGTGCTTCGGTGGTGCGAAGCGGCCCCGTGGCCTGCATGTTGGGAGTTTGCGGGGAGTTGGCTTCCAAAATGGAAGATCGAGTGATAGTGCTTCTGCAGATTTCTGCAGCTCAGGGCTTCGGATCAGCTTTCCAGCGCTTTCGGGGACAAGGCGAGATGAGCACTCACTCAGGATGCCCGAGAATGAAAATGTCGAGCGCAGTGGGACAGTTCGAGTCGCTCTCCGAGTTCCAGCAAACCTCCTCAATGAGAGAGCTGTGTGTTTCTCTACGATTTCTCTTGTTGGGAGGTGGGCCTCCTCCAGTTCTCTGGGTTGCTTGCCTTGCTTGACCTGGACCTGAACCTCCTCATGGGAGAGCAGGACGCCCTCCCCTTTGCCCTCCCCCTTGCCCCTCACTTGTTCTGATTGTCTGCGATTTCGAAGCCGTCCGAAATGTGTGAGGTTGCCTCTGTGCGCATTCTGCTCACGCCAGCTCCAACTTGCCCGCGAGCTTGCCAGGAAGCGGCCGCTCTTGCACAGCTGTTTCAAGAGGGCCGCCTGTCCTGGATTGCGTCAGGAAATTTCAGAGATGGCACCCCCCCCCCCCCCAAAGCCCCCGCCCCCCCCACCCCCCCCGCCCCTTCCCCCTCTCAGGTTCCCTGAGCGTTGTGGCTCTCCTCAAAGGCAATTGTGCCACCCACAGTATCGGAGAGAGCGCGTCGCTGAAGGCCCAGGCTGGCTGCGTTTCGAAAGGTGTCTGAGGGTTTCAGAGTCTTGAGAGTTTAGTCTCGCTTTGAGAATGGCGCTTATTAGGGTTAGTTCAGGTCTAGGGTTGCTAGACCATGGAAGGGGTGGCCGGGAACGTGCAATGCACAATCAAGGGCGGATGCATGATATCCGGCAGGTGAAGTGGGGCCAGGTCGGGCGCTTCCTGGCATTGCGTGCCTTGCGCAACCGTGTGCTCCGGCGCTGGGGCAAGGCTGAGCCAGGCCGCAGCGTTGTCGAAGGGAGGCACTTGAACTCACCTGATTACAAGAGCGTCGGGGGCTCCGCTGATCAGCACTTGCATGCAACCCCCCCCCCCCCGTTGGATCAGCAAGAGACCCTGCCCCGCTTCTTACGAGGAGTGGCCCTCTCAGAGCAGATGCAGGCCCGTCTGCAGGCCGAAGTTTTGCGCTGCCTTTTCAGATGTGTTTGGGACCCTATGAAAGCACGGCTTCATACCGGAACCAGTTTCTCGTGACGTGGCAGAGCTTGCGTGAGTTCTGCTGGTTTCGGTCATTTTCGGTCATTCTCTGACCTGAAGCCTTGAACTACTGTAGATGTCGTCAAGCACTCACTCTGGACGACCTGATTCGCAAGAAGTCTCCGAATGCCGACATCCATACTTGGAGCCATGCACGTAGATGTCTACACTGCAAGCTTGCGATAGCTTGCGTACATGACAGCTGCGATTTCTGCAGCAGCTCTTGTCATCCTCCTTCGCCTTCACCAGACGGATGCGCTTTTACTTTTGTTTTTACCAGCCTGCCGTTCTTGATAGACTCTACGCTTGATACTCCTTTGTGAATTGTCATACCTTAGCTTCCACAGGATTCGGCAATATGCTAAGGAACGGTTGCACGTCCAGCCTTCAGACGTGCAACGCGTCCTTCTCATTATGCTCATGATGCTGGCCTTAAGGCCGGACTCAGGTGAAAGGGCCCCCAGCTGATGCTCATGATGCTGGCCCTGGTTTCAAGTGGAAGGGCCCGCAGCTGATGCTCATGATGCTGGCCTAGGCCGGCTTTACGCCAAAGGGGCCCGCAGCTGATGCTCATGATGCTCATGATGCTGGCCTAGGCCGGCTTTACGCCAAAGGGGCCCCAGCTGATGCTCATGATGCTGGCCTTGAGGCCGGACTCAGGTGAAAGGGCCCACAGCTGATGCTCATGATGCTGGCCCTGGTTTCAAGTGGAAGGGCCCGCAGCTGATGCTCATGATGCTGGCCTAGGCCGGCTTACGCCAAAGGGGCCCGCAGCTGATGCTCATGATGCTGGCCTTGAGGCCGGACTCAGGTGAAAGGGCCCCCAGCTGATGCTCATGATGCTGGCCTTGACCCGGACTCAGGTGAAAGGGCCCCCAATTGATGCTCATGATGCTGGCCCTGGTTTCAAGTGGAAGGGCCCACAGCTGATGCTCATGATGCTGGCCTAGGCCGGCTTTACGCCAAAGGGGCCCGCAGCTGATGCTCATGATGCTGACCTAGGCCGGCTTTACGCCAAAGGGGCCCGCAGCTGATTCTCGTGATGCTGGCCTTGAGGCCGGACTCAGGTGAAAGGCCCCCCAGCTGATGCTCATGATGCTGGCCCTGGTTTCAAGTGGAAGGGCCCGCAGCTGATGCTCATGATGCTCATGATGCTGGCCTAGGCCGGCTTTACGCCAAAGGGGCCCGCAGCTGATGCTCATGATGCTGGCCTTGAGGCCGGACTCAGGTGAAAGGGCCCCCAGCTGGTGCTCATGATGCTGGCCCTGGTTTCAAGTGGAAGGGCCCGCAGCTGATGCTCATGATGCTGGCCTAGGCCGGCTTTACGCCAAAGGGGCCCGCAGCTGATGCTCATGATGCTGGCCTTGAGGCCGGACTCAGGTGAAAGGCCCCACAGCTGATGCTCATGATGCTGGCCCTGGTTTCAAGTGGAAGGGCCCGCAGCTGATGCTCATGATGCTGGCCCGGCCGGCTTTACGCCAAAGGGGCCTGCAGCTGATGCTCATGATGCTGGCCTTGAGGCCGGACTCAGGTGAAAGGGCCCCCAGCTGATGCTCATGATGCTGGCCCTGGTTTCAAGTGGAAGGGCCGCAGCTGATGCTCATGATGCTGGCCTAGGCCGGCTTTACGCCAAAGGGGCCCGCAGCTGATGCTCATGATGCTGGCCTTGAGGCCGGACTCAGGTGAAAGGGCCCCCAGCTGATGCTCATGATGCTGGCCCTGGTTTCAAGTGGAAGGGCCCGCAGCTGATGCTCATGATGCTGGCCTTTAGGCCAAAGGGGCCCGCAGCTGATGCTCATGATGCTCATGATGCTGGCCTAGGCCGGCTTTACGCCAAAGGGGCCCCAGCTGATGCTCATGATGCTGGACTTGAGGCCGCGGATCGGTGAAAGGGCCCACAGCTGATGCTCATGATGCTGGCCCTGGTTTCAAGTGGAAGGGCCCGCAGCTGATGCTCATGATGCTGGCCTAGGCCGGCTTTATGCCAAAGGGGCCCGCAGCTGATGCTCATGATGCTCATGATGCTGGCCTAGGCCGGCTTTACGCCAAAGGGGCCCCAGCTGATGCTCATGATGCTGGCCTTGAGGCCGGACTCAGGTGAAAGGGCCCACAGCTGATGCTCATGATGCTGGCCCTGGTTTCAAGTGGAAGGGCCCGCAGCTGATGCCCATGATGCTGGCCTAGGCCGGCTTTACGCCAAAGGGGCCCGCAGCTGATGCTCATGATGCTCATGATGCTGGCCTAGGCCGGCTTTACGCCAAAGGGGCCCCAGCTGATGCTCATGATGCTGGCCTTGAGGCCGGACTCAGGTGAAAGGGCCCACAGCTGATGCTCATGATGCTGGCCCTGGTTTCAAGTGGAAGGGCCCGCAGCTGATGCTCATGATGCTGGCCTAGGCCGGCTTTATGCCAAAGGGGCCCGCAGCTGATGCTCATGATGCTGGCCTTGAGGCCGGACTGAGGTGAAAGGGCCCACAGCTGATGCTCATGATGCTGGCCCTGGTTTCAAGTGGAAGGGCCCGCAGCTGATGCTCATGATGCTGGCCTAGGCCGGCTTTACGCCAAAGGGGCCCGCAGCTGATGCTCATGATGCTCATGATGCTGGCCTAGGCCGGCTTTACGCCAAAGGGGCCCCAGCTGATGCTCATGATGCTGGCCTTGAGGCCGGACTCAGGTGAAAGGGCCCACAGCTGATGCTCATGATGCTGGCCTTGAGGCCGGACTCAGGTGAAAGGGCCCACAGCTGATGCTCATGATGCTGGCCCTGGTTTCAAGTGGAAGGGCCCGCAGCTGATGCTCATGATGCTGGCCTAGGCCGGCTTTATGCCAAAGGGGCCCGCAGCTGATGCTCATGATGCTGGCCTTGAGGCCGGACTGAGGTGAAAGGGCCCACAGCTGATGCTCATGATGCTGGCCCTGGTTTCAAGTGGAAGGGCCCGCAGCTGATGCTCATGATGCTGGCCTAGGCCGGCTTTACGCCAAAGGGGCCCGCAGCTGATGCTCATGATGCTCATGATGCTGGCCTAGGCCGGCTTTACGCCAAAGGGGCCCCAGCTGATGCTCATGATGCTGGCCTTGAGGCCGGACTCAGGTGAAAGGGCCCACAGCTGATGCTCATGATGCTGGCCCTGGTTTCAAGTGGAAGGGCCCGCAGCTGATGCTCATGATGCTGGCCTAGGCCGGCTTTATGCCAAAGGGGCCCGCAGCTGATGCTCATGATGCTCATGATGCTGGCCTAGGCCGGCTTTACGCCAAAGGGGCCCCAGCTGATGCTCATGATGCGGGCCTTGAGGCCGGACTCAGTGAAAGGCCACTGGAGTCTGATGCTCATGATGCCTGGCCCTGGTTCAAGTGGAATGGCCCGCAGCTGCTGCTCATGATGCTTGGCCTATGCCGGCTTTATGCCAAATGGCCCGAAGCTGATGCTCAATGATGCTCATGGCATGCTGGCTAGGCCGGCTTTACGCCAAAGGGGCCCCAGCTGATGCTCATGATGCTGGCCTTGAGGCCGGACTCAGGTGAAAGGGCCCACAGCTGATGCTCATGATGCTGGCCCTGGTTTCAAGTGGAAGGGCCCGCAGCTGATGCTCATGATGCTGGCCTAGGCTGGCTTTACGCCAAAGGGGCCCGCAGCTGATGCTCATGATGCTGGCCTTGAGGCCGGACTCAGGTGAAAGGGCCGAGCCCTTCTCACTAATTCAGAAGACATGTTTCATTGTCGACGGCACAAACAAACGCTACTGCATCATCGGAAAGATGAAGCCTGAGTGGGTTATCCCCTTGAATGACACGTCGCACAGCAGCAGAAGATGAAAAGGAAGGCAGTCGCACCTCCAGGGGCACATGGAACGGAGCTCTTCAACTCGTCGGCTCTGGACGCGTTCTTCGACACTCTGAAGTCTCAGAGCAACCCGCGGGATTGCACAGCTTCCGTGCGATTCTAGTGTGATTCCAACGTTTGCATCCTGAGATGCACAGCTGGCCGGATTTTGCGAGTGCTTTGATTTCAGCTTCCAGCAGGCATGATTGCCTTGCAGCTTGTGATCTACAGAAACGTGGGGAACTTTATAAACCTCCTGGATATAGAGGAACGTGCCTATTCTCATGCAGACCACCGCCAAGTGAGGGCTTGAAGAGAAACGGGGGCCTCGTCATACCAGCAATTAGCACCGGCCCTGCGCAGGGTTTCGGACATTTTCTGAAGTACAGGCCATGAGCAGCCTGGTGCTGTCCCTTCGCTCCTGGTTCTCTTCTGCCTGTGAGAAGTCCGCGGAGGCCCGGAATCGCAGTGTGATGCTGCATGGCACCGTACGTACGCTACGTCTCGAAAAAGAGAAGGTTCATGACATGGCATCGGTACCGCGAAGAGCTGCACAATTGACATTGACACACTCCATTCTTCAGGGCACCTTATTCGTGAGCTTGCACCCTGGCAGCATGTAATCCGGAGCAAGGCGAGACATGTTCCCTCGAAGCAGGGGTTGTCTCAAAGAACCGACATCCTGAAAAACCAATG